TGAAAATTTCATGTCATTAGCGCCTCTAGTAATATATGTACTGAGAAAAATGTTGGCGTGTTCAATACTTATTTTACCCGCTGTATATATTTTTGACGTGTGTTTTTTGCCTCCAGATTGCAGCTTGAAGGTGAAAGATGTGCTGCGGGAGTTCGATAAAGACGGCAGGCTGGCCCAGCACAGGCATGGAGAGGTGAGGGGACAGCGTGTCCCGGTGTGCGCAGTCAGGTCCACTCCTCCAAAGCTGACTCACAGACCTGTCAGCTGCACATAAACCCAGCAAAATTATTAGCTATGAGTGCAGCTGTTTAGTGTGAAATGTGACTGTGATTCATGTATACTGGACAGGTATTAATGATCCTTTTCTGTCTAATTAGACAGCTATCGATCACGTCGACCAAGCTGTCGTGTTTAAATGTAAATGACCTGCTTAGGTTTGCCCACGCAGCAGGCTTCGCTTTACAGTGAGTCCTCGTGCAGTGTGAGCACACAAGTCATTGAAAAAAAAAAAAAAGATCTTACAAGTTCTGTACATCAAGCAGCCTGCACTGCCAACTCATTTGTGCCGGAAGCAAATGTACTCATTATTGATGGGATCTGGCTACATTCAGTTCTATTAAAAAGCTAATGGAAATGTGGGGGTTTACTATAGGAAATGAAAGGAAGGAAAGCATCACCTGCTGCCTTTCAACCGAAGATCTTCTAATGTGAAGAGTGCTTATACCTTGAAAATAATGTTGTGCACAATCTCAAGCAATATTGCAAGATCTCACCCTCAGAGTTTGTGTTGTGAATAACTCTCAGTTATCACATCAAATTTTAGCACAGTATCTGTAAAACTGGCTGAATAACAGGCATTTTTGTGCTGGCTAATATTGATTAGCTGCGGCAGCCGTCTTGAAATGGATTGACTCTAAAAGTTAATCAGTTTTAGAAGTACATCCATTGATTTCTTTCTGAAAGTTTATTAAAATCCATCCAGCTTTTCTTGATATATTTTGCTAACAGACAAGCAAGGTTGACTCTAATAATTAAAGCTATAAATTTACAGAGAGATGTTGTGCAATGAGTAGCACGTTTGTGACTGACTCTCAGCTACATTCTTATAAAAGTTTAGCACAATATCTGTTAAATTGACTGAATTCAAGCCCTTTTTGTGTTTCTGAAGTCAGCAGGCTGTGTCGGCCGTGTTGTATTGGAGTAGCTCAAAAAGTAATCAGCTGTAGAAGTACGTAAAATTATTATATCTGGAAACTTTTAGTAAAATTTGTCAAGTTGTTTGTGAGATGTTTTGCTAACAGACGAAGTTGACTCCAAATAATAGTTGGCAACATATCTTGTGCAGTCTTTTTGCACTCACATGCACAACATTAGTTGGGGATCAAGCTCAGCTGTAGCTACTCCAGACTTCAGGTAAATATCTGTGAAACTGCTCGAGTTATAGACATTTTAGTGTTTTTTAAGGTCAGTTGCCTGTGGCAGTCACAGTAACTCGGGTAGACTCAGAAAGCTAATCAGTTGCAGATGTGCATTCAGTGATAACTTTCTGAGACGTTTGTCTCATTTTGTCCAGTGGTCCAAAAGATATTTTGCTAACGGACAGACACAGACACGTGCAAAAACATTACCGTCCACTTTCAGTGACTAATTATTCAAGCATAAGTGAGTTTTTATTTGTCCTTTATTTTACCAGGTGAAATGTTTAAATAACAGTTCACATTTACAAACATGACCTGAAAAAGAAATTCCTGCAAGAAATGGGTTCATCGATACACATTACACATACATTACATTATTCAGAACTGTACTTAAAAAATAATAAGTATGGGAATAAAAATATGTGTGTATTGATTATGTATGTATAAAAATAYGTGTAAAATCACAAGTATGTGTGTCACAGTACATCCAAGAATAATGATGACATAAATAGAGCAATAAAATGATTAGTTGTACAAACAGTATCTAATCAGAGTAGTGAGGCAGTTCCTCTGGGCTTTTGTCTTGTGTGCTTTATTTCTGTGTGACTTAACTGGCTTGATCAAACTCTAAGTATTACTGGGGCATCTCTGCAGGGTATGAGCCAGGAAAAGAGAATATTATCAACATGAAATGGATTTATGGTTCAGCTCTGTCAGGGGAATACTGCTTGTTAGCCCCACAGCAGAACATCATGTGATTCCAGTCCATCTGTCAAGCCAAGCAGATGGAGTCGAATCTTAAATCAGGGGATAGTTTTTTATTTTATTTTTGTTTGTTCGTTTTATGTTACTGTCACACAATCAGTCCAATTTCCTTCTGGTATATTTTTGCATATTAATAATGGATAAAATATTGCTGTGTAATGACTTGGATTTTTGAAGACATTTGAAATGACGCAGCTCGTCTCCTAAGCTCAGGATGGTTTTTTTTAGATGTTAACACAAGATTTTTATGTTAGATTTAATGATTCATAATATTCCTTTATTTCCGACTAGCTTAATTTGAAAAATGCAGAAGTCACTAATCACACCCAGTAAAGACAGTTTAGCAGATTCATTTGGCATACCAAACTAGTAAAAAGCAAAACATGCCTCTCTCATTGTTTTTCTCCCCTCYTCAGTGCATAAATGAGGAAGGTTTTCGTCAGTTCCTGAAGACATATTTAGAAGTGGATTTCCCTCCTGATCTCTGCCAGCGGCTCTTCCGGTCCTTCCAGAACTCTAAACCCACCCAGGAAGACGGCACTAGTGAGATTATTTATGTATTCAAGCAACTCATTCCCTTCACTTTACAGCCGGCCCTTATCAGTTTACGTTATGACCTATTTGCTGCGCAGCCGTTTATCACCACACGTCTGTTCAGCACTCTTTGTGCAGATATGGTAACCAGAGTATTTACTGCCCTCTCCCTTTCCTCCATCTCTTCTGTAGAGGAGGTCTTCCTCAAGGATGTTTCATGTTACTTCTCTCTCCTGGAGGATGGCCAGCCCAGGGATAAACTAGAATGTAAGTCCTTTCTTTCTTTTCTGCTCAGAATCACTTAAGTGACACTCTGGAGGTTCCTCTTTCAATTCTGTTTTCTCTGTAGTTGCTTTCAGGCTCTATGACCGAGATGGTAATGGAGTACTTGACAGCTCTGTAAGTTGTTGAGATAGTAGTTTGCAGAGCAACAAGAAAGCCATCAGTCCTTTTGTCGTTGAGGGTTTAATGAATGTATTTGCTTTTGTTTTTTAGGAAGTTGATCGGATTATTGCTCAGATGATGCATGCTGCAGAATATCTCGACTGGGACGTGTCAGAGCTCAAACCTGTAAGTCCCAGAATGCCTTGCTCCACAAACCCCTCTATCTGTGAACAAACGGTATGGGATCAATCTTGTGCCAGCAGGAATTGAATGTGAATTGCTCAGATTAAATCTGAATGTGCATAATTTGAAATTGAATGCATTGGTTTGAAAATAAATTTCACTAAATTGAAACAGAATTTAATGATTTGAAACTGAATTTAAAGTTTTGAATTTGAATTAATTTGCTTTGAAACTGTATTTTGGTCTATTAAAAATTAAGTTTGTCTACTTTCACTTTCAGTTCCAAAATTCAGATTTTTGTGTCACACATCCTGGTCCTTGAGAAATTCAGCCAGAGTAATAAAACACAGATCGACAGATTAAAGCCTGAAACATACTCCGTCCGAACAGCCGACATCGGCACGGGTTGTCGCAGTTTAATGACGAAAATTACGTCACCGGGCTTCGCAGCGTTGGTTCGACAGCCCCTTTTGGCACAACCCGCCGGCAGAGCTTTTGACCCCCTCCCGCGACGACAGTTATGTGTGATTGGTCTGAAGTTCGTGGGCGTGTTTGTTTGCACTGAAGCACTCGGACACTCAAAAGAAAAGAAAAAAAAATCCTGTTTCTGATTAGAGCAGACTGTTGAAGCAGAGTTTGATAAAGATAGTCAAACCGAGAAAAACTCATGAATTAAAGAGCACTTCAAGTGCACGGAGGAATCTGACTGATCAAAACTGTGGAGCTTTAACCAGAACAGATGTGGATAAATACGTTGGGTGAGTGACGCGTCTTTTTTTTCTGCATTGTCGGCTGTTGCGGGGAGAAATTCCATGCAGTGACGTATGTTTCAGTGGGAGGGGGGTTTCCCGAGCTCGGCGCGGGGTGTCTCAGGGACTATGAAAAGGTCTGTGTGAAAATGAATGCCTAACAACCACGTGACCGCGCGTCGACCCATCGGCGTCGGAGCGAGTATGTTTCCAGCTTTACGTTTCACTTTGGTGAAGTTTCCCTTCTGTATGTAACAGAGTTGATGCAACTGAAAGTGAAAGTAGACAAACTGAATTTTTAATAGACCAAAAAACTGTTTCAAAGCAAATTAATTCAGATACAAAACTTTAAATTCAGTTTCAAACCATTAAATTCAGTTCAAATTTAGTAAAATTCATTTTCAGACAAATGCATTCAATTTCAAATTATGCACATTCAGATTCAATTCCTGCTGGCACAAGATTTATCCCATAAAACTGTACTTTAAACCCCGGCAGTACACGCATCTACAGGTAGACTCATTACATCATCACAGTGTTGAGTTCACCTTTTGAAAGATAAAAAGTCTTTTGTGTAAAATTCACTGATTGCCGTGCACGGCTGGTTTCAGAAACCACACGATTGTTTTTAAGCAGTGGGAATGTGTGTGCTGATTTGATAATAGATGAATGTGATTTCATTAGGTTCTGAAGGACATGATGACAGCGATTGATGCTGACAGCAGCGGCACCGTGTCTCTGGAGGAGTGGGTAGAAGGAGGCATGAACAACGTTCCCTTGCTCGTCCTGCTGGGTTTAAAGGTGCTGTGAACACGACGTATTTCTTTTTCATGAGGTTTTGGCACTAAAAGCTGAGCTCAAGCATTTTTAAAATATTTTTTTACAGCAGGTGTTTTATTGTAGCAGGTCGTTTGAAACCCCGGCCTTGTAATGCTTCTCCTCTGTCCTTTGCCTCCTCCTCCTCCTTGTCTCTAAGGGCCTTTGTGCCGACTCAGTGTTACAGGGTGTGGTAATGTCATCCCCCCCTATGCAAGCTCTGCACCATCATAATGCTGGAGTGTTTTTCCACTTACTCTGCACCAACTAACTGCTAGCATAAAGTGTCAACATCGTCTGCAAATGCATTACATTGGATTGTAGGAAAAAAGTAACTCTAACACACTATAAACACTCTTAAACCAACACTCATATTTATTTTAACACATTGTTGTTGGTCAGAATGTAAAAGCTTTGCTGCAAAAAGCTAAAGCCACAATCCAGACTCTGTCTATCGGTTTGGCCTCTATAAACAATGCCGGGGACTTCCCCTCTAGCTATTTCCAGCTACCAGTGGTCATTTGAAGCCTGGGGGTGGGGGGGGTTCAGCCCCCTCACAGTGGTTGTGTGTCGCCCACTATGCCTCGTGCAGCTGGGGATAGGCAGACGTCGTACATCATGTCATTAAAATAATTTTTGTGTTTATTCTGTGTGAGAGAAATGGTTGCTCTGTAAACAGACTAAACCCAGTCCTGTAATGTTGCACTGATGACGATTATAATCAGTGTTAATTTGAGTTTCCATGATGTTGTACAGAATTAACTGCATTGATTTGTGGATATATGCAGCACACTGAATGAGTTTTATTAAGGCAAAATGAATCAAGAGTGAGTGAAATAAAACACAGGCCTCCGCCTCCGTACGCTCCCAGAGTGAATCAGTCATAGATGTCAGTCAAATGATTATTTCCTGCTGTTTCATTGAAATCTCTCCAGTGTTTCTGGAGATATTTTCCTAACAATCAAACATGTGGAAAAACATCCAACTTTCAGCAGCTTTTTTACAGGGTTCCTGCAGATCCTTCCGTCTTAAAACGCCTTGAATTCATCAATCCAAAAATAAGGCCTTAATTAGCCTTAAAAAGTCTTACCGTATTTATTCAAGTATAATAAATAAAATTAAATCCATAAAATCATCTATAAAGTTGGGGGTTAGTACTATACTAGGATAGATATTTTYACTTATGTATTTTAACTGAAATATCGGCTTCGTTCACAAAATGCCTGAGTCCGAAAATAAGACCGCGTCGTAAAAAGCAGTTGAAGCGAACTTACCTCTGACACCCCTTTGTGCTTCCGAGCGAGATAATAACAGATCCAAGCAGGCGACATGATGTGAAAAAAACGGAAAAAGTATTCCTGCACCTTAGTAATGATAACAAACTAATGACATTAGCGTGTGACCGGGCCGCTGCTGGAACAACAACAAACACATGTTCGTCTGTAATGGCTGCCGTCTACCGGTGTTCTGAAAAGTTTGTATCCCTGAAAAAAAGTTTCCCCACCAGAGAGGGCACTCGCGAGTAGGAAGTAATCTGCTTTTCCCCCACAAGATGGTTCAAATCTCATGTGGTCTCTGACTTTTGTGTTGGYGCCTCCTGGTGGACTATGTGTAAAATGCCAGAATTCATATGATGCTGCTACAGCGGATATATATTTGTTGTCAAAATAGTTTTTAGTACATATGTTGTTAAAATAAAATGAACAGTCCAATGATCATTTTACTGATATGTATAAAGACTGCAAAGGCTGAAAAATCTTGAAGTCTGTATGAAATTGGAGGTAGTTTGAGGATTAATTTTTTAATGCTTTTTAAGCTCAAAAAAGGGGGAGGGGTCGTATTATGCATGAATAAATATGGTAAATCAATCTTCAGAAGTCTTAATGTTAACACATTGTAAGTAGGATGACTGAAATACTCACATTCAGACATTCCCCTTTGACATCACTTCCTGTTACTTCACATGCAAATATCTCAACAACTGCCCATCTGAGCAATGTGACATTCATTTTGTAATATGCTAATAATGTTGTCTTCCCAAAAATGTATTCATATTTCTTACAAAAATGTGATGTCACGGGCACTTTAAGGTTTCATCTACAGCRAGCAGGGGTTGAGACCCCACTCTGGGTCCTAAAACAACAAATTTGGGGTCATTACAGGACTTCCAGGAATTAAATTAGGTTTAAAACTGATTGAAAGGATGGTTTTTGCTATATTTGACAAAAAAAGCAGTTAGATATGGATAAAAATAATTGGTCTATTAGCAATATTTGAATAATTCAACCAAAAATACTTTGATTCATGAGTTTCTACTGTTTTTGTAATTTTTCCTTTGTGTTTGTGAAATTGGTCTTAAATTTAATTTCACTTGGCATTAAAAAGTCTTAAATTTAACTTGCCTTAAACTGTAGGAACCCTGTTATAGCTAAGTCAAAACCAGATAAACAAAAACAGCTTTTCCATAAAACGTGACTCATTGTGTTTATTCCTGTTTTGCACTGTCAATGATCAGATGACCCAAAAGGATGGACAGCATCTCTGGAGGTTGAAGAACTTTAAATCGCCCGTGTACTGCAACGTGTGTCAGAGCATGCTGCTGGGTTTGAGGAAACAAGGCCTGTGCTGCACCTGTGAGTACCTGAACTCACCACAGGAGGGCGACACTGCGGGGACATTTGTCACATCATGTGTTAAATATCCGTGTTTGTTAAGAGTGTCTAGCTACAAGATATACATTTGAAACTGATTTGTGTTGGACATTTTGTGTGCTGCTGTGCAGGTTGTAAGTACACAGTCCATGGGCGTTGTGCGAACAAGAACCCGGCTCCCTGTAGCAGGACATATGTCAAGTCAAAGAAAGAAACCGGGGTATGCTGGTGTCTCCACAACAGACTTCGCAGTAAAATAATCAATGTGAATACGAACATGAGAACATGCTTCTCACTTTACAGGTTCCAACGCATGACTGGGTGAGTGGGAGCTGTGATTCAAGGAAGTGTGACCGATGCCAAAAGAAGATCAAGAGCTACCAAGGCTTAACAGGCAAACGCTGTGTGTGGTGCCACACAATGGTGAGGAAGCATCTTACAATTTTATTTTCATTTTTAAAAATATAAATGCACTTACAACAGGGATATTCAACTGGCGGCCCGTGGACCACATCTGGCCCGCGAGTGACCAAAGCTCGGCCTGCCAATTGGTTCATTCATCTATTAAGCCCAAACCCCCGGTTTACTACTTTAATTACTATAAGTTATTTTAGTTAAACATAGACATGTTTGGTATTTACAGAAACATGAGCTGGTAAAAAACATTTGTATGAACACTCAAGACAGTTAAAATTACAAGCAGTTGAAGATAAAACTATCAAAGTGAAAATAAAATTGGTTTAAAAATTTGGCAAATCAGAGATGTCAAAATAGTATTTGTGTTAAATATGAGGCGTAATGTATTCTTCTTGTTTTTGTTGTTTAATTATCACTACACTTATTACATAGGGTTCTGTATGTTTTATTATATATACATGATTATACATGATTAAATGCAGCAAAATAAGCTATTTCAAAGGTAACAGATCTTTGTAATACTTGGTTTATTTAGTTTAAAGACTCATACGGTCACTTGTGGAGTTCCTCAGGGGTCAGTTCTTGGTCCTATTCTTTTCACATTATACATCCTGCCTCTCGGACAAGTCATCAGCCACCATGGAGTATCCTTCCATTGTTATGCTGATGACACTCAGCTTTAAATAAAAATGGACCGTCCTCCATCTACTTCTTCCTCTACATCCTCCTCATCATCACTCTCCTCACTTACAGCCTGTCTGGAGGACATAAAATCATGGATGAACAACAACTATCTTCAAGTGAATAGCTCCAAAACTGCGGCAATGCTGATTGGCACTTCTCGTCAGGTTCAGTCATCCCCCATCACAGCCATAACCTTTTCTGGACAGGACATATCATTTTCTACTACTGTCACCAACCTTGATGTCCGTTTTGACCCTCACCTTTCCTTTGACACTCACGTGAAACATCTGTGCAAAATCTCATTTTTTCATCTAAAAAACATTGCCAGTCTCATCCCATTACTCTCTCAACTGGACGCTGAAAAACCTGTACATGCCTTTGTATCTTCAAGACTGAACTATTGCAATTCCATTCTTTTTGGTATTTCAAATAAAAATCTTCAAAAGCTCCAATTCATCCAAAATAGCGCAGCACGTCTTCTGACAAAAACCAAAAAACATGACCATATCACACCTGTTCTGCATTCTCTTGACTGGCTTCCTGTCCCTGCCAGAATCCAGTACAAGACTGGTCTACTGACACACCAGTGCATACATGGCAATGCATCCCCTTACCTTAAAAAGCTGCTCCTTCCACACAATAAAACTCGTTCTCTCCATTCTGGTAACTCCTGCCCTCTCCAAATCACCAGAACAAAGCTCTGCACCATGGGGGACCGAGCTTTCTGCACTATTGCTCCTCGTCTGTGGAATTCACTCCCAGACCATTTAAGGGAACCACAGACTGTTGAATCTTTCAAAAAAGGACTGAAAACCTACCTGTTTTGCACCTTCTATGGCCATGTTTGATTTTTTTTCTTGTAGCACTTTGGGATTCCTGAATGTAAAGTGCCTGATAAATCAAATTTATTATTATT